CTCTAGTGTCCAGCAAGGGGTAATGTATGTCATACATTCCCAGTGTCCTTTGGATGCAACACAAAGCATCTGACAGAAGTGCATACCTGCTTTTTATGGTGACTCTTTGGTGTACAGTGCTGTATCGGGGAGCAGAATAGCAGCAGCAATAACTAAAGAGGGACTTTTCTGGGAGTGGGAGATATGGCACCCTGGAAAGGAGACACTTATGAGTACTGGAACAAAGAGCAGTTCTGTCTATGTCTGTGAAGAAAGCACATGAACAGTCAACAGTTCTAGCAGGTAAAGCTCTGAGACACTCAAGGATTTATCATGGAAAAACTTCAATAGAAAACTTCACTCTTTATGTTGTACACAAATCCAGACAAAGATGAGGGTACAAGTATGTGTGTTCATGTGTACATTTGTTAATGTTATTATTTTAACTCATAATCCTTGCTTCTTTACCCATTGTAGGAAATACCCAAAATATACAGATTAATTGAAAATATGTGGGAATTCAGCAATCCATGAATTATCTAAAGTTTATGAAAGTAAGGAGTACTTTAATAAACAATTTCTTTGTAAATAGTATATCTTTTCTATAAGAAAATTACCTGGGTGGGGCAAAATGTCTTTTTTTGTAATTATGTTAGGTGTACTTCCAAGGAGTTTTCATGGCTTTTAGGTCCCTGTTTCTAACATACTCTTAATACATATCTTAGATTTTATATTGAAACCAAAGTTTAAAAAGAAAGGTTTTTTAAAAATTCAGTCTAACTCTTGTAAAAAATCTTGGAGAAAAACCTTTCTTCTGTCCTTTTCAGGCTTACTAATAGAAGCAGATGGCATTGGACACCTTAGACATTTTCAAAAGGCATGAATTTGATGTGAAGTTTTAGATCATAAAACAAAAAAAACTTTACATTTGGACCATTGAGGAAAACCATATTCAAATCTCAGGGTATTAGTGATTTTTATTCTTTCTCAGAACCACACATTTTGCTTTAAGCAAAACAAGAACTCTATACATCTTAGCACCAAAAAGTAGTATTAAATCATTGGGAATTTCTAATCAAAGCAGTAGCCAAAAATATTTTAATATTACCAGAGGAGGACATGCACAATAATTCCAGTACCATAATGTAAAACTTACTATGCCAAAAGAAGAATCATCAAAGTACTACAAAGTACAGGAATGCTGATGGAATATTTTAACTAGCCATTTTAGAAAAGCATTTGATTTGGGTTTTGAACAATTTTTTGAGTTCTAATAGGAAAAAAACCATAGACCCTGCATCATAAGCTATAGGATCAGTGTATAGGGTAGGGTTCAGAGGCATGAATATACCTCCAGTGTTTAGCAATGGAGAGAAAAATCAGAGAGGTTGGAAAGTAAAGTGTGGGAAAGAAAAGGAACTATAGGATGGTGAGCATCACTTTTGCCTCCATACCCATTCCTCAGGCTAGTGTCCAATTCTCATCTGCATCACAGGAATGTACACCCCTACAGAATGTTCTCTCCCTGCTCACACCTACACTGGTTTATGACTGGGTTTTGACAGATACTAGCTAGAAGCTGAAAAGTAGGAAGGCAGAGATCCTAAGGTATGTCTATACTTCTCTCACTCCCTGGGCATGTCCCACACATCGTGACTTCCATGACTGCAGCTTCCACAGGGCATCCCCTCCTTCTGCAATTTCAATTCTCAGTAGGAAACACCAACAGTGATTATAGTTCCTGCCAAAGGACTTCAGTTTCTTGGTTCTGGTAACACTACTTCTTCAAATTGTCCGTCCAGTCCTAAGGGTGGTGGCAGCTTCCAATTCTGGCTAACCTATGCCTTGATTTCATATTCTGGATTTGCCTTCTCAGCTTTCCCATAATCATAATTTAGTAGTCAAATTTTTATATTGAATGACTTTCATATACATGACCTGGGGTTATTTCTCTCTTCTGCTGTCTCAAGTCTGATGAACACAGATGATCATTAAGACTGGCTAACAAAAGAGGCCATGATCTCCGCTCCATCTTTCCTTGACATTTCCTGCTTCAGGTCTTTATTAAGCTGTTTTTGTTGTTTTCACCACTGACTTTTGATGAATTAAGATTACATTCTGTCAGGTTTTGTAAGCTTTCAAATCACTTTATTTAACCTTCCCAAACATTATTGAACATTTGTTACAGAAACTGTGCTAATGAACTCCTGCCCACATAAAGCAGTATAGCCAAATATACTAAATAATTAATACATAGTGTGATAATGTTTAAAGATATTGCAGATAAGGAATCAGCACATTGTAGGATAATGCTTCAACAGCCTCCATGTAGAGTCAGGAGAATGCAGACAGATAACAGAGAAATCAATTCCAGATTGGTGGGTGGTATAAGGAAGAACATTACAGAAGGAAGGTCAGAAAAATTTTTCAAAGGTAATAGGCATTTGGTTAGTTCATATTTTGCCTCAGACAATTTGTGAAGAAGTGCTTTACATAAATTCTTTCATTTGATCCTAAAAACAGCTCTGCGAGATATTGCTGAATCCCCATTTGCCACATGAGAAAACAAGGCAAACAGAGGTTAAGTAGCTGTCCCAAAGAGGAGCCAGACTTCAAATCATCCTGTGAGTTGACTCTAGCAACCAAATACCTTAATTACTTTTTAATATCTCATGGCTTCTCACACAGAATTATTTTAAGCAAGATCATTAAGATTAAATGGAAATTTGATATAGTGAGTAGAAGGGGAATATGATGTGAAAGAATAATATGAACAAAGGCATGGATACAGGAGAATACATAAAGTGATTAGAAAAGGAAAGTCATTCAGAAAAGCTCTTGTTTTATTGAGATGAAATATGTCTAGATTAGGAAAGTTATCTCTGATGTCAAACGGACATCTAAGATTAAGTAATACCTAAATGCCTGGTAAAGCATTATTTCTGAGTATGTCTATGAAAATGATTCCACATGAGGTTCTCATTCACTGAATTCATTGACTTACTAACTCAGTCCATTGACTGAATGGGCACCATCCAGTTGGCTAGGGGTCTGCGTGGAACCAGAAAAGATAGAAAAGGACAATCTCCCACCCACACCACCCCCAGTCCTGTAGCTGGGACAAACTTCTCTTGCCTGTGGACATCAGAACTCTAAGTTCTCTTGCCTCTGGACTCTGAGACTAGCATTAGTAGCCTCCTGGATTCTGAGATCTTCATTCTCAAACTGACAGTTGACTGAAAGTTATACCACTCATTCCTCTCGTTTTGAGACCCTCAGATATGAACAGTCACACACCAACATCCTGGTTCTGTAGCTTACAAATGCTTGCTGTGGGACTTAGCCTGTTCTTCTAATAAATCCTCTCTGATAGAATCTATCAACCTGCCTATCCATCTATCTGTCTGTCTCTTTATAGATCCTTTTGGTTCTTTCTGTCTCTCTGGAGAATCATGACTAATAAACACACTGTCCTATGCTTAATACTATATAGCTGAAAGTAATTCATTCTCAATCTTCATAAACAAAAAATTGGCAAGAAGTAGGGATATACTGTCAATTTGTAGCAATTTTCTATGGTAACCAATTTTCAAGCAAGCACTTTAGCTTCTATAAAATGAACCTGAATCAACTACAAACTAAAATTGAGGAAACAAAGCAGTTGAAGCATTTTCTCATGATTCATAATATCTTTTCAAACTGCACTTGTAAGTGACTTAAAAATTTCATTATCCAAAAATTTGTAATTGAGGATTACATTTATAGAAAGCAAAAGGCAAAAGTACTAATTTTATGGGTACTCACAACAAGCCCTGAATATTCTATACTCATATTTCTACTCTTTAGATTGATAAACCTACTAGGACACATGAAGTGTAAATGTATGTGAAAAAGAAGTTTGATAAAATGATAGAAATAACAAAATATAACACAGAACACAGCATTTCCAAATATGTTGACGTAATTAGTACCAAAAGCAAATTATATTCCATTTAAATATTATTTAATACACTTAGTAATTAATGTATAACAGTGGTTTACAATTCCTGTTGTGATAGATTTTGACAAAACTTTGAAGCCTCGGCAGTTTTTATTCAAACTTCAGAATTCTATCCTGAACATTTCTCCATTTTGTAGAGCATTGACCACTAGAGGGCAGACATGACTAAGACATTTAATGAGCTTCTATTGATATTTTAAATTTTGAATCAATTTTAAATATATTGCATTCTTGAAGTCAAAGTTGTACCTTCTAAAAATTATAAAGTATAAAAGCCCTGATAGTTCACCTGAAAATTCAACTTTCAGCCTCTTACTTTTTCTTTTATGAGCCACAAAGGCTTGTCTTTGTTTTCAGCTATAATAAAATTAAGTTTGCAGTACAGAGACATAGTAAGTTGTCCATTTGTTACTATTAGAATTGGCAATATTCATTAGTACCTGAATTTGTGTTGTCTAATATGCATTTATTCTAGTCGAGACCCAATGCCATCTTTTGTCCTCAAGGACTTTAACCCAAAATCTTTTGGAAATTCTCTTCTAGATAGTTTATTATCACATTAGCAGTTCCCATAAAGGAGTATGTCATAATTCTACCTAATATTTGTAACTTGAGTGATGATATCCCTGTTTATTTCATGTACCCTAAAAGATACACCCACCCAATGGGTCAAGGTGTCAGCCTTTGTATTCTAACCCCTTATAAACCAGCAATCAGGTTTTATCTGGAAATAAATAATATGTTCCATTTGAATTCTTTCACAGAATCCTACAGATTTCCATAATTTGACTTCTCAGAGTGCATTCCTAATTGTCCAGTCATGTAGACCCCATCTGTACTAAATGCAAGATCATAATCACATCATGTCAGTAAATACATCACTGTACTCCACATGAGAATCCTAGACAAGCTACCTTCAACTCTGCCCATTGCATAGACTTAGTTTTACCTTCTCCCACTAAGATTTTACCATCAGCAGAATGAATGAGATTAGACTTCCAACAAGCAGGATGTCCCACAATTAGGGAACTTCCACCAGGAAACAAGGAAGCTTGTATCGCTTTAGTAGTATGAAAATCATAAGTTCCGAATTTCTGGTGATAGACGCGGACATTTCTGGTAATTCCATCACCTGTTCCACAGACAGGGCTACAATCTGCTTATGAATATAATTCACTTTCCCAAAGCCACCTTTAGTTACTATTGCATTTCTATTTCATCCATTATTAGAACTGACTAATCATTAATAGAATATTTCTCTGATTACCCTACATAGTATTTTGCGGTCTCAGACTTAATTAATGTCTTTCAATGGTGAGAGCTATCTCCACCAAAGCCCAGTTTCAGAACAATTGGTGCTCTCTCTCTCTCTTTTTTTTTTTTTTTTTTTTTTTGGTGGTACTGGGGTTTGAACTCAAGGACTCATGCTTACTAAGCAGGCGCTCTATCACTTGAGACACACCTCCATCCCTGGACAATTGGCTCTTGAAGTGACTATTTAGCTACCTCCATCATGTAACTTGTCAAGTACAATTATCCCAGTTGCCTCCAAGTAACTGACATCTGCATATGAATGCATAATACTTCCAAAACAATTTGTTTACCAGCATTGCATGGCTCTTCATATGTATACTGTGCTTTAATACAAGGCTTTTAAAATAATCACTAATTTTTGACTTCTTAATAGGATTTTTAAGCAAACCCTATAATCTAAAAAAGGAACTAGATATGAAACTTCCTGGCATCTATAAGATATATATGATGGTGTCTCCTCAGTTCAGTTAATACAACAGTGGTCATCTCCATGATTAACTGTCTTCTTCTGATAATAAGTCATCCTGCTTAGCAAGGTCTGATCTAAGATGTCTGATCATATATCCGTGGTCCTCTAGAGAAAGTGATTTCTCCTGTGGGTAAGCATATGACTCAAGCCAGATCAACCGAAGTCCTTTTGTGGAGTATTTTGGAAAGAAAAGTCCTTTCTTTTCTGGTCATAGTGGAATGAATGTGAGCCTAAAGCTTTAAGATTTATTAAGAATGATAGCCTGAGAGAATAACATCAGCATGCTAAAAGAAGGCATGGGGTGGGAGGGTGGGGGATAGAGACAGAGAGAGAATATAACTTTTGTATTTCTAGATTCAATCTCCAAAGCAAGTTCAATCTCAGGCTTTTCTATGGCTTGATTACTTGAACCAATATTATAGTGATCTTTTTTTTCCTGTAGTTCAGGTTGTGTTTTGTCACTTGTAACTAAAACAGTTATAACTAACAGAATGATCAAGCTATAGTAACTTTCAACTTTAATTATGTGACACCCTCACAAATATTACTCATCATATGCTGGGAAAAGGGCGCAGATATTAAGCAAATAATGACTTTAAGTTTAAAAATACATTAATTGGGTAACCAAAGAGATTAAAATAAAACAGTTTAGAAATAGAATATGAAGGCAAAATTAAGATGAAGAAGGTAAAAATCAGAAGATTCTGAGAAGTCACAATAAGTCATATTAAAATAAACTTTTTCCAAAGCACACATACTCAAGTTAGAACCAGGTTTTATAAGAAGAAATTTTATTTTTCATAGATATAAATATAAATCCAAGAGAAATTTTTTTCACAATTAATGACTTTAAATTTTGCTTTTCCTACTTCTACAGATGTATGATTTTGTATATATACCCTCATCCTAGACATAAACAGAATTCACTCCTTTAGTCTCAGGTACTAGTCTTGTCCCTGTGTTTTCTCCTTTCTTGGTTTCACTCTTCTAAGATGAGAAAATAACTATTAATATGTGCCATGTTCACATTTATTTTCTTCTTTTGCGCACTTTCATGATGCATTCTGATGACTGATAAATAGAAAACAAAATGTTTTTAGTGGATTCTCTGGCAAAAATCAACTAGAGGGAAGAGGAATGTTGAGTCACTGCATTTCTAAACCCATCCTGACTTTAGGAGTATGCTCACCATGAGGAGAAGAAATGGAGAAACCAAGATGGCATAGAGTCAAGAGAGCAAAGTTAGTAGTATGAGACTCTCCTGATAATTAGAGAATAAGAGAGAATTGAAGAAGATAAGATCCAATCTGGTTCTGGGTCTCTCCTCTCAGAATGTGCTTCTTTCCTTGGGACCCAGACAAAGAGAATGACAGAGAAGAATCATTTCAAACATTTTTGCCTTAAACAAGAATGTAAAACAGGTCATGATAGGTGAGGACATTAGCAGGAAGGGGAAGGTAAATGAAAAGGGTAAAGGAGGATTCATATGGTTCCATATGAATATGGAATATTTAAACCTATCAAAGTCTTTTTAAGAAGGGGGAGGAGAAAGAAAGGATGAACCAAAATAGAGTACATCACTCACATACATGGAAAATTTACAATGAAACCCCCTACATAACTACAATATACCAACAAAAACCTTTAAAATTTTATATTAAAACAAGGAGGAAGAGAACTCTTACAAATCCTCTGGGATGTATTAGGGAAGGGAGAAAACAAGAAGGAAGGAAACGTGAGAATTAAAAAGTAAAACATATTCAGCCAGTGGGTTAAAAGGTAGGCCTAATCCACAGAGCAAATGCCTATAGAAATAGAGAACTGACAGGTATTCAGTAGATCCAGGCCAGAAGTGGCCAAGTAACTGACACCATTAAGCATCTGAACCACAAACAGCACCTACCTGTTCAAGAGGCAAGTCCTCTAAGAAGTCATCTGTAGCCAACAACATCTGTCTCAGGGCAGAAAGAATCAGAATATCCTTTACAGGGTCCAGTTCCCACTCTGAGACATAATTGCTAACTACCAAGATGTCAGAAAGAGCAAATCCAAGTTTTCTGTGAACTGCCTGTATCTTCAAAACACAAATTAAAACTCTCCTATTCATTCTATAGAAACTGCTATGAAATTAAAGCATTTTAATAGACTTACACTGGAGTCCACAATTTTTCTATTTTCTTTTACAAGCCATTCTCAGGATAAGTAGATTTTATTAAACTACTTTAATGTTTAATTCTTGATTAGATTAGCTTGCCTCTGGAACCAGACCACAATATGGCTGTCATTCTGTATGCTTCCGTTTTCTCATCTATAAAATATAGTAAGGACAGTACCCATCTCATAGGGTTCTTATTAGGATCAAATAAAGTCTAACACATATTTAGTGCTCAAAAAATACTAGCTATCATTATATTCTCTCAACTGTTTGCCCCACCTCCACATTCCTTTCACCTCCAATCTATCCTCCTGCAGTGGCAAAGGTTAATTTTGGGGATCCTTAAACGTCTTTTACTGTTGTGCTGAGTGGGGATGCATTGTGGCATTTACAAAAGTTCTTAAGATACATATCAAATATATCAACTTGAATTCACCCCCTCCATCATTGGTTTTAGTCATTTCATAATATTTTTCATACTTAATCATATTCTTTTGTCAACTTTTTCTTATCCCACCTCCCCATCCCTTAACCCACCTATAAAATTATAAGCTTTTTACTGAAGGGGAATTGTTTTCATTATCTGTGTATCTGATTAGAGACTGTCATACTAGCTTGATCTTAAAGGCCATCAATAAATATTTGTTGAATTGAACTTAATTGAATTGAATTATAATGAGGAATTATCCATCAGTGCCAATATAAATATATATTACACATATTTAATTTTAAAACTTGAGAAGTACATCCTAATTACTCAAGCAATTATTTTACTTCTTCCCAAACTCAGTATCTATTTTCACTTTTATACAGAGTAATATCATGTATTATAGTGACATAACCTAGAAAATGTGTTTACAAAAAAATTACTTGTTACCTTACACTTCACAGGAACATAGCTATATATGTCTATAAAGTCATCTTTTGCAATTAGATTGATGCTATCCACATGAGTAAGCAAAGCCACGTGTACCACACCTATGTCAAACAGACATATATGGTTTTTATCATTACAAAGAACATTAGTATGTTTAAGTTAATGAGTTATTAGTTATCTATGGAGAAATTTTAGATTTGGGAATTTCCCCCACATCCACCTATCAAAAAATGCCCCCAGGAATTGGTGATAATATATGGAATTTCTCTGACATATAAAGTCCCTTTCCTTGCCTTCCATGGTAAAAAACAAAAGACAGCTTCAAATGAAACCATTTCTTCAAAGAACTAATTAAAATTGATGCTACAATGTCACTAATTTATATCCTTTCCAAACAGTAGTATTTGGTTAGAGACTAGAGAAAAGACCAAAGGGTTCTAATAAAGAAGATGGAGAACAGCACTCAAAATGACCCAAACAATGTATGCACATGTGAATAAATGAACAAAATAAATAAATAAAATAAAAACTTCAAAAAAAAAGACAGAATGCATCAGGGCATCACAAATAACCTGCTACTATTTCACAGCATTAGCAAGTGTCTTCATGCATATTTCTTTTGCAAGATTTTAAATTTCAATAAGTAGATAAGTTCATCATTCCTTGCTTCTAGCATAATTAAATTTGTATTAAACTTGCTCTTTCCCATTCAAAATAAATAAAGCCAAGCAATGCCAGAGTGAAACATCAAAACTCCCTGATCCTGTTAACCTTGTCCAAAGCCTGTCTGCTACCTCTCCCTATGAAACATCTTACTTTCCTGGGGGTATTTTCCTTACTAAAATATTCCTTTCCACTTTCTAATCCTTTAAGCCCTAAGAGGAAATCTATGACTCTTGTCAATAAGTGCATACCAAGATGGATAGGTATCAGGAGTTTAGGATTCAACCGCTCTTCATTTTGCTCAATCCTTACACAAAGTTCTCTGAGGTAGTTGCTATTTTTATAGTAATTTTATTGATTAAGAAAATGAGGCACAGAGAGTTTAATTAAGTCATTTGCATCAAAGTCATATAGCTACTCAGAGCTCAATTGGATTTAACCATGCTGATGAGCCAGAAAGATTCAAAACTGCAACTACTTAACTCCTTCATCCTGCCCATAAAATATTCTACAATAAAGCCTAGTCAATTACCCTTAGTAGCAAAGTAGAATGAGACTCACCACATTTTATCACCTCTCTTCGAATTCTTCTGATCTTTGCAACCATCTCATGAGAGAGCTGTTCAACAGAGTTGGCATCAAACATAAATGCCACACAATGAATTCTGTCCTTCAGAAATGGGCAATGAATATAGTTTCCATGTTTTGGTGTGATTGGTTTCGTGGAATCAAACTGTAAGGTAGACAAGAAACAATGTACTGATTCATACGATACATACCAGTGGCTAAGCAAGTAAGCAAATAGTGAACAAACCAGACAAATCTCTGATATTATGAGGGTAACAATCTAATGAAGAAGTATTCACTATTCAAGTAACTAGCAGCCCTTTCACCTAGTCACATAAGGTTTCTGCGAACAAGGAACATATAATCTGAGAGTAATAAAGAAGGAGACATAAAAGGGATTAGAAGATGGCAGAAGGTATTCTGGATAAAAGGCACAATGGAGGGAAAGGTAGAATTAAGAGCATTCAGAAAGAAAGCTTGTATTATCATGCAGAGAATAAAGTGGGAAAATGCTTCAAGGTGGGATAGATGCCTTTACTTTTGGACTAGCAACTGGTCTCCTGGAATGTGTCTCACAGAGATAGTGGCAAATATATATATATATATATATATATGTATATACATATATATATATATACACACACACAAGACTACATACTGCATAATTACTGGCAGCAGCAAAAGTCTGATATATCAATAAAACATAGTGTTGCATTACTTCTCCGAAGAAAGGAGGAACCATAAATCTTTAAGTATTTCATTATATATTTAAAAAGAGAAATAAACCATAAATTTGATATGACTGTTTATAAGAAGAAGGAAGGAATTTATTTGAAGGGACAGGGGAAGAAGACAGATTTTTTAAAATTTTTCCTTATTTTGTATATTTGACTTTAGAGTTGTATAAATGGTGGACACAAATATAGAACAAATTTAAATTTAAAAATGAATCCCTAAATTAAGTTAAACAAGTGAACTTTTTCATTCATTTGGGATACTGCCTGGCCTTAAAACATGATAATTTATATACCCCATGAAGATATAGGATGTGTGCTAAATACAATATAAAAATCTGCTAAAACTTTTTGATTCCAGTTTGGGTTGTGAGTATATTAAGGGGTACTGAATATAATTATGATTAGATTGCATGGGCTAGTAACAGACTTTTATTCTGAGACTACCGGAACATTATGTGAGGTAGTAATGAGTTGTGACATGGTAGTCTTGTCATTTCTGGTGTCCTTGAGAATAAAAATTCTCAGTTGGGGAGAAAATATATACAGATGTAATATAGAAGAGATTAAGTAAAAAAAAAATAACTCCAGTATTGAGTTTAAATAATATGTTTCCATATGAATTTATTATACATTTTTATCATAAAATATTTATTTCTTAACTCTGCCATACAAAATGTAAGAAAAAAATGACTAACAAAGTAACAGTGGCAGTTTTAGTGCCCTAAACCAGGACTTCTTGAGAAATAGCTGATTCACAATCCGGAACAGGTAATACACAAGATGTAGTTGAGATATCTAGTCATACCAGAAACCAAAGCACATAGCAAAGACTTATAGATTTATGCCAAAGAACTCAGAATATAACTTGTAGAGACCCCTACTAATCCAAGATGGTATATTTGGCACTAGGATGAAGAAAAATGACAACAGATTGAAATATATCAAACCTGCTCAATTCATATTTACCTCATAATAATAATAAATTAGCAATGGCCACATAATCAAATACTCACAATTTATTATTTCAAAAGTTCATAACATAGACAAAAATCAAACATATGTCTTACTTTTTCTTTGTAAACTATGTGTTCCATTAGATAATTAAATAGTAGGTAAGAGGAAGTTTCTCTTCATATGTAAACTGATGAGAAATAATAGAAATATCACTATTTTTGCACACAAATAAATGTATCTAGTCATTGAGCATTAACGAATAGCAATCAATATTAGAAAAGTGAGACAACCTAACATTGTTCTTCCACTCTATATTCAACTTCCAGTTGAATCAACAGAAAATAAGGGACCATGTAAAATGACACTGAGGGATTCAAAGAATAGAGTTCAAGCTACATAGAAGTCTTCAAAAGCAACCAACCAAGTTTCTTTAAAAAAAGAAAACTGGAAAGGAAAGAGACAAAACTGATAAAGGCATAAGGTACAGGTAAAATGAGATTGAATAGTTTACTTTTCAGGAACAAAAAGCTTTTAAAATGCATGATGCTTAAAAGGAAGTTAGAGATTTTAACATTAAGCAATATTTGACAAGATAAAAATAGTTGTTCATGGTAGACGTGATATGGGTGTTACGACTATGTTTAAGAAAAGATACAAATACATATTCCCTATGTGTTTATTTTATGTATGTAAGTATATATTAAATTACAAATGAAATACTACATTTTCTCTAATTTGCTTCAAAATAACACAGGAAAGTAGAAGATGGGTAAATGCAGACAAAATAAGATTAGATGAGTCAAAAATTTTGTCTCATTTTGCATACATGTAAAATGCTCTATAATGAAAATAATTTTTAAGAATACTTAAAAGCAAATATAATATGTCTATAGGATAACATACATTAAGAAATAAAAGGAACATGTATAAACATTAAAACTGTCTTTCTGAATAGAAACACTGGATATACAAAGGTATAAATCAAATTTCAAAATAAGATGTTGATATAATTTCAAAGTAATACCAAATCAAGCACAATCAAACAATATACAAGTAAGCTCACTTCAAAAAGTGTATGTGTAAAAACTGTCAAAAAAAAAAAAGCAAAAGTGGGGGCTGGTGGAGAGGCTCAAATGGTAGAGCAGCTTCCTACACAAAGCTCTGAGTTTAAGCCCCAGTATCACCAAAAAAAAAAAAAAAGAAAGAAAACAAAAGTGAGAAATGAATGTTAAATGTGACTTGCCCAGTGACATATCAAGAAGTAACTGATTGTTATGATAAAGAAAACAACTGAACAATATGGTAATTAAAATGATATCATAAAGGAATAGGTAAACGCATCAATAGAAAAAGTGGGAGAAAACCAAAACTGATTTCTGCAAGTATTTGGTAAGGAAAAGGTACAAAAGTCATTCAGTGAAAAATGCTGATATGACTGACTATTCATTTAGTATAAGATTAATGATTAATTTGAGGTCTAAATGTTATGAAGATGACTAGAAATTTAAAACAGCATAGAGACTAAAATGATTTTTGATCTCCCTCTTCTTTTCCCCTGGAATGCTGAGAGTTCTCAGCATTAACACCTTGAGAGTGCTTAATGATGTTGAAACATACATATCTAACTGAGGTGGGGCTGCTATAAAATTTCCACAGACTAGGTGACTTAAACAATAACCATTTACTTCTGGAGACTGTAAAGTGTAAGATCAAGATTGAATGTTTGTTGAGGGTACTCTTCCTGATTTGTAGAAAACCACCTTTGCTGTATCCTCACGTGGCAAAGAGAGAGATCTCTGTGTCTCTTCTTATAAGAACACTAATTACCTTCCAAAAACCCAGCTTTTAAATGTCATCACATTGGTGTTTAGGGCTTCAACATACAAGTTTTGGTAGGGGACACAAACATTGAGTCCTTAGCACTCTATGCTGAAGTATTCAAAAAGAAAATAGAAGAATTTTTGAAATTAATAACCTTAGAAAGTTGTTGTACTAGCCCTAGGCTGCCTGTGGTCTTCAGACCTCCTGTTACATAAGAAAAGTTACCTAAGTGGGTACCTATATCTGAATTTCTGTTTCATATAAAATAACCAAAAAAATTGAAAGTAGAACAACATTCATAATTTTTACAATAGCTATGACAGAAGAGATCTTTGGACATTTTTATCCTTTATGAAATATACTATCAAAATGAAACAAAGGAATTTTAACAGGTGTTTTTTAAAAAGATAAATGCTGATGCACAGAGATTCGAACCTGACATTATACAGAGAGGGCAAAATAGGCATTTTTAAAATCAATTATAATTTTTTTAATGATTAGCCAGATCTTACATGGTATCTGTCAGGAGTGTGGCCTTTTAAGATGTAGACTCTGTCTTCCTTACACAGGCCACCTTTCTCACTCAGCCCCAGTGAGTCACATAGAACAAATGGCAGGGAGTTGCCATCATTCCCATCCTTGATAGAATATGTCCTATACTGAAAAGGTAAGAAAAGAAACTTTAAAAGTATATTTATTTGTTGTAAATTGAGATAAAGCCTACATGTAATGAGTTAACCAGCAAATGGCTTTTCAAATTAAATTAACTTGAACCAAAAAACTAAAGGCTGGGTAGCCTAAAATGTACTTACCTCCACAGACATCCCAGTTGTATTAGAGCCCACCAAAGCCTGATGTGTTACATAGCCTTGGAAAACAGATTTCACTAAGTTGCAAAAGCTAGACTTCCCAGCTCCAACTGGACCCAGTAGCAGAATTCGGCTTTGGTGAACCAGGTCTCTATATGGCTTATAAGATCTTATAGTAGCCAGTAAGCTCTTCCTGACACTATTTAAACACAAGAGTATTTATAATTTTTTGCATTTTAACAATTAACTGATGTCACATAACCTGACTTTATCATAAGTTTTCCTAAAATTCATTTCTTTTCCTACATATTATTATAATTTTTTATTAGCAGCTTCCCTTCTTCCATAAAGAAATGAGACTACCCTACCTTGAGTTCTATTGTAAGCCAGGATGGTGCATGCCTGTCATCTCACCTACTTGGGAACTGGAGCCAAGACCATGAATTTGAAGGCCAACCAAGGCAGAAGGTAGGGACACCCTATCTATCTCAAAAACAAAATGCAATAAAAGGGGGAGGGTCTAGAGGCATGGCTCAAGTGGTAGAATGCTTGCCTAGCATTCATGACACTCCAGCTTCATTCCCCAGAACCACACACACACACACAAAAAATCCTATTGTAAAAGAAGGAAAAACAAAAATAATACTTGTAACTAAAGCTAACCAGTCATACGACTATTTGGATTTAGGCTACTAAACTATATAAAGCTAGGCATAAACATCAGCTATGTTAAACATGAAGATAAATTAATCAATAACAAACTTCAAGAATCATAATATAATATGCAATTTTTGATGTTTATGGAGCTAGATCATTTCTAACATGTTTTTAAAGTTCATTAATAGGTACTCTTCCACAGTAATTCTATAAAGTAGTTGAAACTTTACTGTAAGAATTCTCAGCAAAAACAAAAAACATGCAGTGAAATATTTTCCATCAAGTATATAACATTAGAAACTGATTTACTCATTTGTGGGTTTTTGGTTTTAACATTTCTATGATCAAATAATTTTATGATTATAGGTATAATTTTAGCTTGTTGTTGGATGATCTACATATTCCTTGTGATAATTTGTGTTGCCAATTTTTTGGTGAAATCTATTACAGAATATGTCAAAGATATTGAACAAATAGAAAGTTAAAAACATTGGCTTACACACTGACTTCTTTTTCATTGGTCCAATAAATCTAGGGAAAATGAAGAAAATGTAGATTATAAATTGTTAAATGGAACGTTTTAAAAGATAGAAACTTCATAGCTTGATCTGAAAACCCAGAAAACATCTCAAAAAGCAGAGAGAAAAGAATGAAAAAAAAAAAAAAACCAATCAGATTATAGAACTGGAGTCCTCAGAATGGGCAAGGAGTGTTGTGAATTTGTTTGTGATGGATTTAGAAATTACTATGAGCTAGTTACTCCTAGATATATTTTGTTTTCCCTTACTTAATTGACAGTCTATTGCTGCTGTCCTACATGGTATTTGATTGTTTGTTGATTGTGTGGGATTTTTCTTTTTAAGTCACAAATCTGTTTTGATTAAGAAGAGCTCTATACCAACAGCTTAACTCAGACCCAAATGCAGATAAAGTTTGAACTTTAAAATCTACTGCTGGAAATTGGATAATACATTTGAAGAATCTGGCCTGTGGATAAGAACATTGTAATGCAATAAATAATTTGAAACTTAAAAAAAATAAATTGTTTGATGGATGACTGAAAGAATGAGTGATTTTACTAGGGACAAACACATAAAAAACTTTTTCATGGAACAGTATAATATAGTAGAGAGCAAATAGAGAAAATGCTGGCAATTCTCATTAACACCATCTCATTTGAAAATACAAGAGCTAGGACCAAGATAGTCACTGCCAAAACTAGGGTCAGCAGATCTTTTCTCACCCAATTGGAGTTGGGGAATGGTGTTTTCTGAATCAGAGAAGTAAGACCTAAAGGCATGGACAGCCAGGAAAAGGCTGGGGTTGCTCTAAGATATGTTCTCTAAACAGTGCAGAGAGAGATAATGTGTAGAGTCACACAAATAAAAAAAAAAAACAGGCATCAGAATTTCTCAAAACCTACTATCAACAATTGGGACCAAGAATTTCAGTTCAGTTGATTTTCTTCCTGGCTGCAGAAGAGAAGATAGGACTAGTGTCTGGCCAACCAGAGCACAGTGAGTGGTTCAGGGGTGGGCAAACCACTTCATCCAGACCAATCAGTCTCAAGCCCAAAGTTTTTTGTTTTTGTTTTTGTTTTTTCACTTCTTGGAGAAAGACACACTTTCATGATGGAAAGAAAATTGAAAGGATGAGGCTCAGTGATGCTGGAAATTCTCTGAACTATGACATTATGTGGGACACTTACAAACACAGTCATGTGTAGTACAACAAAGTAAGCCTCATTAAATTACCAACAGTAGAAGTTCATTTAATGATTACAATCTAATGAAGTTAGAACGGACTAAGTATAGGTCAAAAGAAAAGCAATTTTAGGGAATTTTTGAAAGCATTTTCTTAAATAACAAAATCACAACTATAAATATGTGTTAATTCATAATGTTACATAAAAACACAAAGGTATTTATACCTTACAGAAATTTTGGGATAAAATCACACTTTACTAATGACAAGAAAAAAGGAAAGGTTTCTGGGTTTTTTTCAGTAAATGGATAAAAAATCAAATAAATGAGTTTATTTTAAAACTATAAATCTGCAGAAATGTAAGTTATTGAAACATTTCCTTTTTAAATATTTAAAATGAGAAGTAGGTACCTTGCTTTTATTGTCTTAATACATACTCTTTATAATTTCTTTATCTTTAATAATTTTTTTATTAAATTTTTTATTAGGATATATTCATTGTACAGGAGGGATTCATTGTGAAAATTCCATATAAACTTATATTGTACATTGGCTGGATCACTCCCCATTGTCAAAAGAAGGAAAGTTTTGAAAATAGAAACAGAAATAAAGGAACAAACAGAAATATTAAAATAAATAATCAATAAAATATACAGATAAGTTTTTAAATTTGAAACAAGTAAAATTAATGTAGTATTTGATTTTTTCTTTTAAAATATGAAATAAATAAATTGCTAATGAAAAATAGCAAAACTCACTAAATATCATACCACTAATCACATATCAGCATAATTACATATTTTTTAATTAATAATGCAAAGTGCTAGAGATCTGGAGTGACAGAAACTTTCATACACTATTTGTGTAATTGGTACAAGTATACTGGAAAATTTGTCAGTTTCTACTGAGGCTGAATATACACATACCCTATAAGTCTAGAATTTCATTCTTCAGGAGGTCTGCCTTCCTAGAGAATGTGACATAAGCCTGTATGTAACGTCCCACAACCTAACCTGTCTTTAATATGGAAGGTACAAAAACTCTGCCTATCATTCTTATCCAGAGAACATATGTACAACTTGGCAAGGAAGGATGTAGATAGTCACACAGAATATCCCAGTACTGTTTCTGCCTTCTTGGAGATTTTTATGAAAGGGGTGAAGGAGGGTGAATCTGGTGGAAATATTATGTACTCGTGTATGAAAATGGAAAAATGGGGGATTTCCAAGATGGCAGCTAGAGGTAGAAAGCAGAAAGCGACCCTCCTATAGTGAAATCTTGGAGAGACACTGGAGACACACTTTGCAGGCATAATCACTGAGAAGAGGCATAACTTTGACCCCTCCACATCTCCAGCCAGCGCAGAGAATCTCCACCTCACATTAAACGGAGAAACGAAGAGGGCCCCCGGGGCCGCCAGTGGCCGGCGCCCATACGGCTTGGGAAGACGTGGACCAGGTGAGCTTCACAGTACCATGGTAGCCCCACAGACAAGCCTGGGCCAGAGCAGCATAGCCCCCTGGATAGACTGACCTCCACCCGGGGAAAAAAAGAGAAACTGAGTAATAAGCAATAAGAACAATTAAGACACACTGGAAAGAGGGTGGGGCGCCCTGAGCACTGAAGATTGGGGGAAGGGAAACCTTCCCGGGACTGTAAATAAACAAGCGGGGTGGGCCGGAGAGGCTCTGGCAGGAGCAGGGGCACACACCCAGCACCAGGAGCGGGGAAGCTGGTGAGAGTGGAGGAGGGAGGAAAACAACACAGGAGAGGAGGGAAGACCCACTTCCCACGTGAACTGTAAACAAACATGGCGGCTGGCAGGAGCAGCAGCACCGCCCAGTAATCAGGAGCAGGAAAGCTTGTGAAAGTGGCAGTGGGAGGAAAACTGCACAGGAGAGGGAGGAAGACCCACCTCCCACGTGAACTGGAAATAAACACGCAGGCCTGACAACGTGGGGCAGTGTCACCTTTCCCAGGCTTGGAAAGGGGAAAGCTTAGCAGAGGTCACACACAGGCAAGACTCTGAGTAAACAGAAGCCTGCGGGGCCAGGTGAGTGCTAAGCTCACCCCAGAGATCTGCATGAATGAAATGCATCCAGGCAACAGCAGGCTGACAGGCAAGCAGGGCAAGGCAAGCCACAGTTGCAAGAAACCATTCTCAGAACTGATTCCGAGACTCCTTTTTTTTTCTTTGTCTCCCTACCTTTTGAGAGGAGAACACCATAATTACACCCACAAGCTGAAAAACTACTGAAAACTGGTTATTGCATTTTGAGACTTGGGACACTGTGGGCTTTTTGTGTGTGTGGTGTGTGTGTTGAGTGTGTGGGTGTTTGTGAGTTTTGTTCTTACTTTATGCATCCCCTTTTGATGCAGGACAACGACAGAACAAAACACCTGAGGCACCATCTCCAGGGACTGTAGGACTGAGACGACACCAAATTATTCACAGCAGACTTTGCTCAACAGAAACATATAAAAGCAAGAAGAGCATGGGTAAGATCTGTCGGGGCACTGAATGAAAATAACTTCAACCCCAGGATATTCTTACCAGCAAACTATCATTCAAAATAGATGGAGCACATAAAAAGTCTTCCATGATAATGCAGAAACTAAAACAATATGTGGACCACAAAAGCCCACCACTACAAAGGATTCTTCGAGGGAATTCTGGCCACACAGAAAGGGAAACCCAACTAACCATTGAAAAGACAGGCAGCACCAAACGGCACAGGAAAAGAAAAAAGCAAAAGACAGTAGAGAAGTAACCTCTCCACAGGGGAGAGGAGGGGAAGACCCACTTCCCCATGTGAAGCTGGTAAAAAAACATGGCGG